CTATAATAACCATATTCTAATCAATATAATATAATAAAGTTTCTGTCACTATATTCCATTCCTTTTTAATTTATATTGATTGAGTTTTCATATATGTCGATTGATAGAGGGAAAGATTTTGGTGTCACTGAGGGATCGTCTAGATCCCCCGGCGGGCACGGTCAGCCCCTAACGCCTAGCCGATACGAGTCGCAAAAGCGGCGGGACTGGAACACGTTCGGGCAGTACCTGAAGAATCACCGGCCGCCGGTCCCGTTGTCGCAGTGCAACAGCCACCACGTGCTGGAGTTCCTGCGGTACCTGGACCAGTTCGGGAAGACTAAGGTTCACTTACAAGGTTGCATCTTCTACGGGCAGCCGGAGCCGCCGGCTCCGTGCACCTGCCCGCTCCGGCAGGCGTGGGGCAGCCTGGACGCCCTCATCGGAAGGCTCCGCGCCGCCTACGAAGAGAACGGCGGATCGCCGGAGACCAACCCCTTCGCCAGCGGCGCAATCCGGGTTTATCTTCGGGAAGTCAAGGAATGCCAGGCCAAGGCTCGCGGCATCCCTTACAAGAAGAAGAAAAAGAAGGCGGCTAGTCCCGGCAAGGCCGCCGCCGCCGACGAGGATTCCACTCACGCTTCCATTCCTTTCGCATTTTCTTGATCCAAACACACATCATACTTGCCAGCCACTGCACCTAGCACCTTCCATAAATGGTAGGTCTACCTATATATATTTTTTCATCTAACTATATATGTTTATTGTTTTTTTCAGTATATTATTTAAGTCCCACAAATACAATAATAACTGAACATAAAACCTGGTACGTAAACCGTAGTTGCTTTGTTGGGCTGGGATATGGAAGTTGTTGGAATTAGGGATTTCGACTTTGTAGGCAAGATCAAGAAATTAGATTTAAACTTCGTGAAGATGACAATGTTTTAAAACTTTTTTATCTTAAAAACCCTAGCAATCTGCTTGATCAAACTCATACTATCAGTAGTACTAATTAAATTCTATAAGACTTTTTTTTATACATCTAAATTAAAGAGATGAGATTTAATTTTTCGGATCCAACCTAATTCCCTAGGTGGACCTTTTGGTATTCAGAAATCTGAGAATTAAGTATGAAATTCTACTTATAACATCATTATATATGTATTTTAGGAAGATTTTCAGTTCATTTTTTGTATACTAACACTTTTTTTCTCACATAATTATCTCTAAACCTTGAAAATAGACTTATTTTAGCAAATCATTATTTCTTATCAGTTTATTAGCCTTAAGATATATATAAAATCTTAATTCCCAATTTATAATTAACATGATTGATCATCTATCAGTGTTTCTGTTGTAAACAGTCTGGTGGGAATATTCTGCACAATTTTGTGCCCCCACTGATAGCCCATTTGAGGTAGCTAGCTGACATTTTTGCATGCGTTTGGATATGCACTCGATCAATCAAACATTTAATCAAACCCCATTAACTGATTGATGAGATCAAGAGGAGTATACATTAATTACTTAACTTAATTTCCACTGTATTTCTTCTCCCTCTAGGGTTAAAACCTGATATATAAAACCCCAAATAAGATTTCCTATCTGTTAAGGGGAAAAGAACATGACAGAAGTTTCATGCAAATTTACTTTTGATGGTTTCTTTAGTATCCTCATTTCAAATCTGTCGTGGAAGATGGACTAGGTAGTGATGATAGTTTGTTTTTACTAGGCTAAAAAAGCTATATATGTCTGCCATGTTTGTCATTTCTTGCACTGGCTTAATTTGCGGTTAGTTGCTTCCAATGGATTTTTAAAAAGGGATTCTACTACACGACGCTAGAGATGGATAAGTCTTTATGAATTATGACGTGTCTTGATTTGATATTATTGATTAATAAGATATTTTTCTCTCTTTACACCTTTTAGTATAAGTTGGTTGTCGGTTGGTAGGCCAATATAATCAATATTATTATTCTAATAAGGTTTTATATTGGGGTAACTTAAACATAAAAAGTAGCTGGAATTTTCCTTAATAATTTACTGAACCCTTCTTGTTCTTGACCTAGCTTGTCTAAAATATAGCACTAAGAATAATGCTAGTTACAGCAAATTATGCGTTAACTCATGTAATTTTATACAATTGATCGTCATAAAATTAGTAGAAACCGTAGATTCAATCAGTACATAACTTAAATTTAATTCGTTCACTAAAGTTAAATCTTGTATTGAATTATTTGGCAAATGTAAATTAAATTATTAAGTTTGTGTTGTTTGCAGGGCTGTAATAAACTTGCTCCACATGATCTTCCGAAGCATGCAATATATATATATGTAAAGGTAAAGGGATTGAATGTGTTAGATGGACAAAATTTGTGGCGATTCATTCATCCTTAATTTCATTATTAGACTGTGTCATATATATCCTTTTTTTTCCTTACTGCGAGCTGAGTATATATATAGCAGTAAGCATTATATTGGGAGTGTACGTTTTCCACCCTTTTTTCCTCCATCCATTGTTTAACCTGTTAAGGTTGTAAAACTACCTATATGTAGTACTATATATATATTCTCATCTTCTTGTATGTATAACTCCAACATCGTATTGTTTACAAGTGAACAAGTGTTTTTTTCCGGGCAGTAAAGTGCATGCATGGATGCCCCGGATTCTCTTGTTTGCTTTGTGTATGGATATTCAATTCGGACTATATATGGTTGTTTGTATTTTGTAATAAGTTTTTGTCATAATAATGTTATATTGTGAGTTTTATTACATCCGGTTACATTGGATTCATTGTGTTCATTAGCTACCAAGTACTATACATTCATTATACTTATTGTGGGTTAATTAATAACGGTAGGTTCTGGGGTTGTTTAATTTGGTAATTATTTGTTACCTGATACCTGATTGATTGTGTTAGTTTTTTTGCTAGTTGATAATATTAACGGTTTGTATGCAAGTGTTAAATTAGCTATTTGGTAAATCAAGAATTCTGATTTACCAAATACCTAATTCAAAATCCTACTCATTATGGTATAAGTAGAATTTACTAAATTTTCTATTAGAAAATCATAACAGAACCAAAAAAAAATCACTTTAGAAAAACAATAAGTATTATAAGAGCATTTTTACCTGTGATTTTTTTAATTTGGAGTTAACGTCAGAAAAAAGTCAATTAAGCAGAGAAGTCAATTAAGCAGAGAAAGATTCATCTGCAAGAGTTGAGAATAATGGCATAGAGGTGGGACTCACCAAAGAAATGGAGCATTATATTGTGACAGCCTCGCGTGGCTGTCACAATGGCGCCCAGCTGGGCGTCAGGCATGCTGACGACACTATTTTTTTTTTTAAAATCAATTTTACTATTTTTTTTTCCTTTTTTTCTCTCCCCTCCCGTATTCTTTTTTCTAATCACACTTGCAAAAATTACTCAAAAGTCACAAAATATCCCCAAGTATTATGAATGCTCTAAAGAGTGATGAAACCATAGCTATATAAACATCACAACACGTCAACGCCCGCCGCCGTACTTGCTGCCTCCTGTCGGCCGTCGCGCGCTACTCGCTATGCGCCAAACTCCACCGTCAAAATGTACATATGTTTCCATGAGAAATACGTACTCATTAATTAATATGTTCAAAAAATATATATACATCTACTATACCTTCACCATCACAAAAAAGAAGACCAAAAAAGAAAAAGCAAAGTCGCAAAGCCAATAAAAATCAGGAAAGTGACAAAAAGAAAAAGAACGAAAAATGGGAAAGAAAACAAAAACAAAAACAAAAACGAAGGTAGATTGATGGAGCTGAAAACATGAAACCAAGAAGAAGAAGAAAGATGAAAAATAAAAGAATACAAACAACCCCTAGCTAGTGGGGGCGAATTATACTGTGAACCCCGTACCATTACCTTCATTGCCAAGTGTTATATCATGTCCCTATACATTATTTATCCTGATTTAAAAATTATATCCCGTTAACATATTAAGTATATTCAATTAATAATTAATATGTTTGTAAATAAATTGAAAAAACATAATTTGTTATTGTTAACTACATACACATAATATGTTGACGATATATTTTGGATGAAATTTGCAAATTTAATATAATTTAGGAACAAAAATTAAGCACAAAAGTTAATAAAATAACGAAAAGTGCAACATTAATAATAGCTTAGAGGTGAAAATTAAAGTGAGTACGACCAACACTTGGAGACGAATTATATTGTATAATTACCTTATAATTTAGAGATCAAAACTGCAATTTTTCTTTTTTAAAAAATTAAATATTACTCCACATTTTGATTATTTTTATAGCAAAATCAAATAATATAATGTATGATAAATTTTATAAGCTATAACTTTTTTTTTTTTAATATATTAACCATCCCACCAAACCTTATTATGAATTGGCCGTGTAAAATCATACTTAGATAAAATTAGGAAAAAGGGTCAAATAAGTGGGGCTTTACCTGAAAAGTTAATTAGATTCTCAAATTTTTAAAATTACAATTATACCCTTTAATATGTCAAGAGGCAATGAAACCCAAGAACTGATAAATGACATGTATATATCGTTTAGGCTTCAGTTCGACGAAAGTCTGGCGACTGGTGGTCGCCTTCTTTGGCGAAGGTCGCCCTCGCCGGAAAAGGCGACCTTTTGGTCAACGTTGATGTTTTGTAGTAAGCTTTTGGTTGATGGTCATGTTTTTCGGTAATATTTTGTCGGTTAACGGTAAAAAAAATATAGTCAATCGTGTAATTTTATCGGTAATATAAATTTGACTTATTTAACCAAAAATAATATATTTGAGAGTTTAATTACACTTTTTAAAAATTTAGCTGATTAATTGACTCTTGATGTAAAATTTAGGGACATATTTGAGCATTTTTCCATAAAATTATGATTATGATAAGCTAATAAGCTATTGAGCTGTATATGTTTCAAATACTCAGAAATGTCAGGGGTCTAGATGCAATTATTATCTCAATAACTATTTTAAAGACCCGAACCGGCCCAATTAAGGCCCTTTTATTTCTTTCTCCCCAAGTCGAACTAAAGCTAGAAGTATCCCTATTCTCAAGCTTCCGTGAAGAATTCTTCGCTGCCTCGACATTGCCCAGGTAATCTCACATCTTTCAGCTCCGTCGGTCCTCTTCAGAGGCTCAGAGCTGTTGTGCATCCAAGTTTTTTTTTATTGAATGTCAAATTCGATTTGCAAGGCTTTTTAGTTTGATTGCTGATTGTCTATTGCTAAAATCGATGAATTTCAGTTTGGCAGTTGTACTACGATTTACTCATCTTTGAATCTTATGCTATGCGTAAAAGCACGCACTTTGTTTAGATTTTATATACATTGCCTTCGATCGTAGTTTAAAACACGAAACTTTGGTGCGTGAAGAGGATTATGCAATCGATTGTTCTTAGTGTTTTAATCGTGCGATTAATAAGTTCCGCAGAATTTAGGGCTCTCATTTGTGATCTTTTCTGCTGAAATCTGTGGTCTTGATTTATAATTGCTGGAAATTTTTGAAAACTCTGCTATCTGGTGTTAAGATTGTTGGAATTGGACATAGTACTTGAGCTTGAACAGTTGAACGATTTACCTGGTTGATGTTTATTCATATATGTTTCTTCTATACTTTTGGTTTGAAAATAATTCATGCAAAATCACTGTGGTGAGTGACTAGAAAATCCTGACCTGAAAATACTTGTTTGCAGAGCATTTACTAGAGCTTTACAATATCTGATGGGAGACAGTCAATACTCATTTTCCCTTACCACGTTCAGGTATGAACCAATTAACCACACTTAAAAAGGGAAGACAGTGATGAGGAGAATACCTGAAAAAATGAATTTTTTTATTCTTGTTTTTCTTTCTTGTTTAACATCTAACTATTAGTTATTGTTACACAGCCCTTCTGGAAAACTAGTTCAGATTGAACATGCCTTAACGGCTGTTGGTTCCGGGCAAACATCTTTAGGGATAAAAGGTAATTAAATGATGTATAATCAGTTATTTAACTAGATGTATGGACTGCATATTCATTTAATAGCCATGAAGATTTATTATTGGACACGTTGCAAATACAGAAATACTATTACTTATTTGGTTAACCATGACCTTTGGGCTTTGTCTCTGCTCAGTAAATGAAACAATAAATAGAAAACATGATAACATTTGCTGAAAGGGAAATTCTTTACGATTTTGCATCAAATCCTTCTTATCATTTATAAAATTCTCAGAAAGATACAAGAATTATTTGTTTGAAGGACATTATATACTTTTTACTTGGGCTAGAGAAATTGGTAATCAGATACTTGACACCCTGGTAAATTACTTGAGATAGACCTTTTTCAAGATGCATATGTATGGCATTATTTATGTTTGATATATATGCTAATATGGAGTAATATAGTATGTATGCAAACAAAATATTAGTAACTTTTCTATAACAAAGAATGATTTTAAAATCTGCTTGGGCCATTGCAGCTTCTAATGGTGTTGTTATTGCAACTGAGAAGAAACTACCATCCATCTTGGTTGATGAAGCTTCTGTAAGTATATTTTATTATGCACAAATATTGTTCTCTGGTGATATTATCTCGAACCTTTAAATCATTAATGCAGTCCTAGGGTACATAAGCATATGTGTAGGTATCTCTGTACCTCTGTACCTCTGCATTCATCTGCCATCTAGCTTGTATTGTCTTTCTTTCGTCTTCAGATTTTTATACTATATTTGGTTGTATTTTGAATATCAAGGGTTTGATGCTGATACTTCAGTGTATTAACCACAGGTGCAAAAGATTCAGATTTTGACACCAAATATTGGAGTTGTATACAGGTACCATAGCTGATGTTTATATGCACTGATATCATTTACTTCTGTTGATTGGTATCCATCTTTAGTCTTCCTAGTTCTTCTGCTTGTATTCTTGGTTAGCTGTGTTTCTACCCAATGTTTAGTGTATGAGATAAGTGATAAAATTAACTGATTAGAAATCAATCTGTTCTGGTTTTCATGAATCATGCTTAAGAGGTTGGTCCTTGGAACTTGGAAGTATACAATTTGAAAGTTCTTTTTGTATATCTATTTCCTATTCTCAGTGAAAATAACTCTTCTTCATTTGTTAACTTGCTTTTGGATGAGTAGGAGGGTATCTCAATCCATTCTTCCTCTTCTTCCTCTTCCATACTTATTTTACTTGGAGCATCTCTTGAATGATATTTGTTTCTTGTTTGCAGTGGCATGGGACCTGATTCTAGAGTTTTGGTTCGGAAAAGTAGGAAACAAGCCGAACAATATCACCGCCTCTATAAAGTATGAATTTCTTTTTGTGTACAAGCTCTGCAAGTTGCATTTTATTACCATTCTTTTGCTTTGTGTGCAAGAACCTTTTATGTTCTTCAAACAAAAAAAGTTACTTGTTAAGATTCCCTATGAAGGCAATTGGTATGATTATTTTAGGACTCTTAGGTGTCAGCAACAATGCAACTTTTGCTGATGTTCTCTAACAGATATGTGAAATATGGAATTATGGAATCTCATTTTGTATATTCTGTTAATGGTTAAACACAGGAACCAATCCCTGTCACGCAACTTGTGAGGGAAACCGCAGCAGTGATGCAGGAATTCACTCAATCAGGGTAACTGTTATTCTATGATATCATTCTGTCTTGAAATATGCGCCACAAGGCATTCTAATATTTAATCATGATGTGGGGATAAAACTTGAGGTTGGGGGAACATGTTCTTCCTCTAAGTATAAGAAGATTAAATGAAAGGATTTACTGGAGAAAAAACTTATATTGGAGAAGCAACTTATTTTCATCAAATCAATTGATGCTCTTCTGCTTTTGTGGGCATACAATATTTTTTTCCTCTTTTCTACATAGCATTTCCATTCTATCCCTTCTCATTTATCTTTTGCTTGACTGGTATAGTTCAAACTTAAAGCACCCTTGCCGTCATTTGGCAACCAAAATTCAACTCAAAGTCTGTTACATATATGATGTACCTCTTTATGTTTAAAAAAAAAAAAGAAAAAAAGAAGCTAACTTGATGTACTCCTTTGAATCCTTTTGATTCTTTTTCTTTGTTTCTTTCATGGTAGTGGTGTAAGGCCATTTGGTGTTTCTCTCTTGGTTGCTGGGTTTGATGACAAGGGTCCCCAGCTGTATCAGGTATATTATCCATGTCTAGCGATTGTGAAATTTTTCCTACTAATTGAAGTGGATATCATATATGATTCTTGACTTTTTTTGCTTTATTCTGCCAACTAAGCTGGAGGATGTCTGTAGCTGTTTGTTAGATGTTTAAAAAATCTGCGAAGCTTTTGCCTCTTTTTTTTTTTTAATATTCAGTTTGTTTTTGTCTTATAGGTGGATCCTTCAGGTTCATACTTCTCCTGGAAGGCTTCAGCCATGGGGAAGAATGTGTCTAATGCGAAGACATTTCTTGAGAAGAGGTCAGTTTGCATCACTCAGATTTTAGTGATCTGACTTCACAATTAATGTAACATATCCAACTTTTGTAACATATCAAAAGATTTAGTAAATTATGATCTATTCGTGAAAAACCATACTTTTTTAAAATTACTGCATACAGACCTCTACAACCTGTTCAATTATGGACTGTCTAAATTGTAAAAAATGAAAGGAAAAATTTAACTAACACCATCCACAATGACTGCCTCCATCCACCTCAACCTATCACCACATGAGTTGGTATGCTTATATGAAAAATAATTAAATTTTGAGCACATTCTATGTTTCCTAATTAGTATTAGTGTATTACTGTAATTAGAAAGTGGAAAATATTCTCCACAGACTTGTGAAATGCAAAGACTAAAGCACATATAAGTGGTGAAGTGACATGCTAAAAGAGATCCTTTGTGACCTGTAAGGCTGTAACAGAGGACAATTGTATGAAGTGTCCTTTGCGTTGCTCTTTTTAAATATTTGTTAAAAATCAGCTGCAAATCCCAAGAAATTGGCCTAAATTTTTCTGGTATTCTAACCTCTAGTCCCTATATTTTGTCAGATTAGCTCCACAAAGTTACTAGGTGTTAACACTCTCTACTACTACTTCTATTAATTCTTCTTTCCTTCTTTCTGTAAAATTACAGGCTGGGTTGAAATCCATCACATGCTCGCCCCTTTTTTTTTTTTTTAAATAAAAATTTGATGCCATGATCATGTAACTACCTCTTATTTTTTAATGTGCTTCTACTGTTTTATACAAAATCTTTTTCATCCCCATCTTTTTTCTTGTTCTCTTCCCATGGCACCAAACAGCAGGGGAAAACTGTGTAAATAATTTTATTGCAATGTTTGTGTTTGGGCTTACTGAAAGGCTATGATTGTATTTTTTTTCTGATGATTGTTTTTTGTACTTCAGGTATACAGAAGATATGGAACTTGATGATGCTGTACACACTGCTATTCTGACACTGAAGGAGGGGTAAATATCTTTGGAGTAATTTTTTGTCATCATTCTCAAGAGTATTTCTGTTTCCAGGACACTTAACCATGTTTTGCATGTTTCCAGATTTGAAGGGCAAATTTCTGGTAAAAACATTGAGATTGGCATAATTGGTGCTGACAAAGTGTTCAGGTATGCATGTTTCTTCATTTCATTGAAGTTAATTAGATAGAGGGTTTGGAGCCTAATGGTGCTTGCTTGACGATTTGTTTGCAGAGTCCTTACGCCTGCTGAAATTGATGACTACCTACAGGAAGTGGAGTAGTAAAGTTTTTCTTGAGGGTGCGTGGAAAATGTTCACTTTATGTTAGGAAACAACAAAGAAAGATTTGTTTTGTGCAACGCGACTATCTATCATCAGACTTTGTTGTTTATTCAAACTTTTGAACTGCCAAATCTAGACTGCTCTGGCGTTCATGTGTAACTTAAATCCTGATTTTACTTCAGTTCTGGTTGATTTATGGCTTTGTAGAACACCTGTCGTGCTTTTATATATATATATATCCATATTATATTATATATGTACCCACTTACTAAAGGCGAAGATGAAACTTAATAATAGGGTTTATTAATTTTAGAATTGCAAGTCTGACACATAATCAATTGAAACATTTACATGACTTTTTAAAGAAGAAAAATTATTTCAATATCTGTCACAGAGACTTGCAATTAAAGCACTTGCAGGAATGTTTATAGTCTTATAGCACGTTACAAGAAATTCAATGTCTCTTTATCCATGTCATTATCTATGAACAACTAATGGCTAATGGTGAATTTGGGTATATCTACTAATGATTAAAACTGCTGGAGGGAGATGGGGAGCTTTGCACCGTGGGGTTTGGTACTTGAAAAAAGGTTATAGTTGTAGTGGGGTGTTTGTTTTTAAGCAATTGGAGGTGGGGGTGAACAAGGATGGTGGCAAATGACAATACTAGAAGTTACTAAGGGTATGGATGGTGTGGTTGGGATTGAAGTTGGGTTTTTATATACGGAGTATATGTATAAAAGGTTTCCGACAAATCAATAAGTCATTGCTATTAAGAATCGAACTTGTAATTTTGTGGTTACTAAGTTATGAGTCACCAAGACACCATCTTGTATTCTTTTTTTTTTTTTTTTTTTTTTATTCATTGGTTATAAAGATGATTTTTTATTTTTTTAATGGGTGTATTCTTTTGAATTTGGACTTTATTTTATTTTTCTTACCATAAACTTATATTTTATTTTACAATCTGACTAAAGTAATAAAATTTAGATTAAAAAAGTTCCGCTTTATAATTTTAATTTTTTGTACCATAACATCAATCATGTCTGTTAGATGGTCAATTTGACTTATTTTTAACATTAAATTTTAATATTTTTAGGTTTTGAAATTTTTGTTTCTTTTTTTAATGGGATAATAGACACATGATCTGGAATTATGTAGCGTACTACTTAATAAATTCGTTAAACCATTGTTCACAGTGCTTTCGTAGCTCAGTTGGTTAGAGCACCCGTTTAGTAAGCGGGAGGTCTTGAGTTCGACTCTCAACGAGAGCAAGTCGTTTAATTTTTTGTTATCGTTTAGCATTTTGAGTACCCAATTTGCGCAATAGCTGATATTCCCCTTGCAGATCAACCTAACAATGAATGAATGAATGATCACTTCATGAACAAGGGCTTATAAAACTTTCAGGGTTAGAATGCATTCAGATCATGAATCCAGATTACAAAAGTTTACAACCATCCACCATGAATCCCTGAAACTTTACACAAATCTATCCAGCAAAAACATCCAACTTGTATGCAACAAACACCCTTGTCAGTAATCTCTGGTGGAAGTAGCAGAGAAATCCATGGGGTCACTGCAAAATGTTTCTGCCTAGCCTAGTAGGCTTTCCTGTACATAACCATCATATATATATATATATAATATAAAGAAACCCATAAGGGGCAAAAGACACCTGTCTCTACTCTATGTCTCTAAGGAAACACAGACAAAATTCTTGAGACAAGAAAAGCCAAGCAACCCTGAAACTGCTATCTGCTGAAGAATCCCATCTTCCATGAGAGCACAGTTGAAAAGAGCTGTCGCCGATGCCTATAAATAATTATCTGTTCAAGAAAAACAGGAAGCTATTAACATTTCATTCTTGTAAGCAAACAAAACCGTATAAGCTAAATAGCCTTAATGAATGCATATTTTGTTTGCCATCCCTGCAAACAAAACATTCCAATGACACAATAGCTGTAAGTTGAGTTTGCAATTCTACTTTATTTTAAATTTTATGGCGTATAGTATTTGGAAGTTCCACATAATCATGTCTTGCCATGACCCTAATATGTAACAACTACAAATCTAGGAAGGATGGATCAGAAAAAGGTGACTGAATATGCTAGCTTGTGTGTATGTAAATATACTAAGAAGTATATTTGTTTGTGTAGCAAATGAGATTATGTAGGTTGGGACCTATTTTGAGTTCAAAAAACTTATTCATTAGACACAAAAAAAAAATCCATGTATGCACTTTGAAGTGGATTCTTGCAAAAAACAAACACCCTGCAAATACAATAAATGCACAGCATTTTCGCATCAACTGTGTATGCAAAGGCAAGTGAATTGATTTTAAGCAATCACAAAAGCTCTAGGGTCTGACAATGTTAAAGACAGACAAAACCAATGCAAGACATACATTAACTAACTGACACATGGACTCCCTTTGGTTAAGAATCTATAACAGACCATTTCATCGAGTCAAAATTATCTGGCGAGCAAAGCAATGTGATACGATGAGGCAGCCAGACATGCAGAAGGCATGCTATTAAATGGTTAAAAATTGACCTCAAGCAGCCATGTTTAAATAAACAGAATTAAATAGTTCATTATTTAAAATCACTCAATAAAAGAGCTCAGTAGAGTTGCCTACAAGTACCTTCTCTAGGATGCAAACACGACTTTTCCACTGACCTTTTTTTCCAAATTATAAAACGGCATCTTATCTATCTGTTGCGAGTTTTTACTAGCTAAGCTTGTTTACACTAGTTCAATGTCAAACAAAAACACACTAATTGTTTGTTTCAGCAATGCTATGAGAATCAACTAATCAATTTGTATAACATATAACTAAACTGCAATTGCTGTGAGAGCAATCTAAACCACATTACTAAGAATCTGAAATTCCCCATGTTTCTGGTTGTGGTTCAACTAATTCATACTGCTTTGTTTATGTCCTTAAATCCTCACAGAGCCCCACCCGCCATTAAGTAAATACAGAGGGACCATGGGGACTGGTTCAGTTATTTAGAAGAGATATAAAGCAGTGGAAACACAAAAGCTTAGTCTAGCATGAACCAGACAATAAACTGTAAATGAAACACAATGGACATCCAACAAATAGAAAGTTATCATTTTTGAATGTATAACTCTACAAGAAATAGTGGGCATCCCAAAAGTCCATCCCGCTCCTTGGAACATTTTCTATATGCAAGAGGAGAACATCAAGTGTGATCATAGTCTCAATGCATGACGAGAACAAAGGAAAGGTCTATTGTTTATACTGATCATAAACTGATAACTTATTGAGCAGAAACCAGAAATCCTGATTTTCATTACCCTTTGGAAAAGCTCCAACATAGGGGAAAGTAATCATATAATCAAATAAGGTACAATGAATAACTTTAGAGCATTATTAAAACTAGCCATTAATCAGAGGATCTCTAGAAATAGCATGTAAAGAACTACCAAGTAGTGCTTGAATAAGAAACACAATGATGTTCTTTTAAAGTTGATTGTCATTAACAATACATAGATAAACATGTCTGTCTGTTTCTGTAATCAAATCCTAAACTAATAACATGAGAATCAAAGAAGCAGAAATCCCAGGGAAGGAGAAGCTCAAGAAATGAAGAGCGCTCACTCACCAGCATGCGAGTTGTTGCGCTTGGCACGTTTGAGTTTCTCCAATTGCACTTGTGATTCCATAATGAGCTTCATTCTCTGAAGTTCCAAATCCTTGGCGAACTGCATTCTCTGCTTCTCTAGATCCACCATTTGCCTAAGCTTTGCCTCCTCCACTCTCTTGTATATATCGCTGAACTTCCCAATTGCTTCCGCTAAACTCCTAAACCCTTCTAATTGCGCTCCTACGTCCTTCCTCTTGTTCCCGCCGGAAAACGCCGGCGCCGGCGGTGGACTCGACGTCTCGGACTCCTCATTCTCGTCTGAATCTTCTGTGGCGGCTGCGGCAGCCGCCGCAGCCATGGCGGAGAAATTTCGCCGGGATACGGTTTCGTCGATAGCCACCGGGCGCTTCGACCGAGGACCGACAGGGACGGCTGACGGTGGTGGAGGAAGCGCCGGAGGAGTTTTCCGATTAGGAGCGGTAGTCGCCGGGGAAGAAGAGGGCTTGAAGTTGTCGCCGATGAGGGCGTCGAGGCTGTTGAAGAAGGCCCAGGAGGAGACGTAATTGCCGGGCGATTGCGAAACCCTAGCCCTCTCGGTCTTGTACTTCTTCTTCAGGGTGTCGATGCGGTTCTTACACTGTATGTCGGTGCGGTACTGTTTCTTAGTGTGGCCGTGGAGGGCGTTGACGGCGTCGGCGACCTCCATCCAGTGCTGCCGCCGGAGATTCCCTCGGTTCAGTTCCAGGTAGTGCGACCCCCACGACTCAATCAGCGTGTGAGTCGCCGCCTCCGACCAACAGTCCTCCCGAGCCGGGAAAACCGGCGTCCGCGACGCCGGAGGCGGAGCATTAGACGAAAGCGGAACCACCGCCAGTTCGTTTGTAGCCGGCGAAAGCGGCGCAGGGGACGGCGAGTGAGAGTTGTTAGAGGTGGGAGTGGCTTCGAGTTCGTCGTCGGACATGGCTTTTGATATCGGAGATTCGTCGTCGACGGCGGCACCGGCGGTCGTTGAGGAATTTGGGTTCGAAAAAGAATTTGGAGGCGAAAAGGTATTAGTATTAGTAATGGGCTGACACGACATCGCGCCGACGAGAACGAGCTTTTGGGCTCGGGTGAGAGTTTCTAGCCTCAGGGAAGGGGTGGGGTACCGGCCTACCGGGTAATGTATGGGACCGGCTTCTGGCTAGGCTAGGCTCCTACTCGATCAAAAATCAGGATACAAGGAAAGAAGGGAACAGACTCAAAAGAGCGTGTGGCTCCGGCTCGGCTTGGCGCTGATTGGGTTTAGCCGGTCACGTAGTTTTTTGGAGGGAAGAGTCTTGACAATATATTTCAATAAAATTATTTTCCTTTTTTACTTCATCAAACAATTATTTCTTTTATTTTGATTTTCTTACCGTTTATTTAAAAAAATAAAATAAAAATTGGCACAACTAATGTGTGACATTTGAGATTTAGATTTTTTTTTTTTTATGTATAGTACACCCATAATATATAATTTTAAACATTGTTATTAAATCTTACGATAATACATCATTAAAATGTCAAATCAAAAGTTCTAATAATATTAGTACATTATTTAACAAAGGAAAACATTAGTTCAATTACTTTGTTTTACATATTTTACTCAATGATGTTATTATATAGGTCAAAGTATTTATGAGGTCCATACTATAATAATTTGTTCAATTTAGTCTTTCTACTTTAATTTTGTTTATATTAGTCCCTATGCTTTAAAAATTGAAACAATTAAGAACAATAGCTTATGTGAGGAAATATTTATGTATTTATTTTAGACATATTAATGTAATATGTTGATGGTAAAAATAATTAATTTTATATATGAGTTGGAAGAGGCAACAAGCCTCAGTAGAGGCTTGATCTCATGATCTCCCATATGGAAGAGGTCACTACATGCTATCTGAATACAAGATGCTTGGCAACTAATTACGATACTTAAAATTATCTTTTTTTTAAAGGGATACAATATCAAGTATGGAAAAGTCATACCTTGTGGTCCAATGACACCCGTTGCTCTTTCATAAAGAAGATTATGAGTTCGAGCCTCCGTGGAGGCGATATTGGCTTTTTGTACTTTAGTATTAAAAAATAAGTATGGAAAAGTCTAAAATTAGTTTTAGAGTTCATTATCGAAATGGTCACTTGACTATAGTGAAATTATTAATTTGATTCTTGACTATTTTTTTTTACATAATTAAGTCATTAATTTTGAAAATCTTAACTAATTTGGTCTTCTGTTTGTTTAGTCGTCATACTTTCGTTTACTCGAGACCAAATTTGTAATTTTACTATAGTCAATGAATCATTTCAATAATCACATGCACCATTTCCTCTCCTAACTATAGCGAAATTACCAATTTGATTCCGAGCAAACGGAAGTCTAACCAGCTAAACAACGGATAATCAAATTAATTAAGATTTTTAGTTAAGAACTTGATTAAGCAAAAATAAAAAATAAAAAAAATTCACAAATCAAATTGATAATTTCGCTATATTAGGACCATTTCGATAATTAACTCTTACTTTTCTATTTATGGTGAGGAAGTGATTTTTGGAGTAAAATATCTTGATTACAAAAACGTGAGATTGATAAGCTCATTCCAAAATGCTAAAGCCCAACCCTTGGCCCAAATTGGAAATTGCGTTATTAGTATCGGAGCAAGCCCATAACTAAAAGTTCATTGACGGGGCCTACAGTAAAATGTTCATATCGCTTTTGGGTTAACTAGGAAAGAAACAGAGTACAAGAATGGCCCAAATGTTTCTTAAGTTCATTTCACAGAAACAGAATGGATATCTTCATATTTGACTTTATTCTATTTGTAATTTTTATTTTAGATTTTCACTTGTTTCATTTTTAGTTCTTCAACGTCTAAACCTGTTTCAATTTTAATCTAAAATATTGCAAGTGCCATTGAATGCAATAGGGTGAGCAATATGTGTATTTTTTTGTGTTGTAAAAATTAACGTAATTGAGTCATTTAGGTGCTAGCCGCTCTTAGGGTAAAGGAATTTCAGCATTAGTCGTACATTAGAAAGTCGACCGATTAAATAAGATTAGACAGCCAAATTATCAATTTGGTCATTGATAAAGAGTATTTATGTATTCTTAATAAGGAGTATTTACTTTCACACCCCATATATCACAATCTTGTTCAAGGAAGAAAAAAAAATGGTGACTACTACCTTTTTCTTTGATTTACGATAAATTCGGTAACTGCTATCCAGATATGTACTCTGGTGAAGCCCATCGTATACCACTAGTTGACAAAGGATCACAAAAGTATAAATCAACATAAGTTATTCATATATAGCTGATCGGTTCAAATCAAGAAATTTAATAAACTGTTTTAATTCCATCGTGACTATTAAAAAGAACAATTGTGAAATTAACAAGCAAAATGTGTTACGTAAAAAAAAAAAAAAACAATAGAGATAGAATAAATGCAACAGTGCATGTATAGTGACTGTATGTATGTATGTATGTATTATGATTGTATTGAAAAATGATAGGAAAAGTAGAGTGGAGTTGATGATGGAAAGGGATAGGGAAGTATTAGATTGCAATGAATGAAAAAGTCAACATAGGCAAGCTAAGCTGTATCTTCTCCAAAGTGGCACGACAGCTCAACCCCAACCCTGCCCACCAAACAGACAACTCAAATCAGTCCCCACACTTCACATTTTTCTTTACTTTACGGAAAATACTATGTGTACTTTCATTTTATGCTTCCAACTTATATTTTTACGCACAAAATTTTGATGAAGACATTTGTATTGAAACTCACATGAAAAAAAGTAATTTATCAGAGTGCGTCACATTAGAGAATAAAATTTAAGGAGTAAGACTTGGGAGTCTATGTAGTAGAACGTACTCTTACTTTACTTCCACAATTAAGGCAAGACAATATATGCGAAAAGCTTGGTGGTCAAGCGACACAACTATGACTTTCAACTGAGAGGTCTCTGGTTTGAATCTACTGTGGGGTATTGATTTACATAAACAGAAGATGGTGTTGCTATCATCATCAGCTCGGAGATTCCATATCGATTGTTAGTTGTATCCAGAAGCTTCCAGAAGCATGCATGCATGCCTGCACAGAAGTACTGATAAGTATTTGCAAAAAGACTTCTACTTCATGTACTTCGAAATCTAACTCCTTCAAATCTACTCCATGATATGGTGGGTGGTATTTGGCTATTATTTTTTTCATGTGACTCCTATAAACGTGCGTACATCAAAATTTTAAGTGTGAGAGTAAAATTTGAAAGTAGAGAATGAGAGTATATATATTATTTTCCTTGTAGAAATTGTGTTGAGTTGAATAATATGATGAGAGATGAAGAAAGTAATTATAAGAGCAGACATGAGACATGAAGAGAGCAGTATAGTACCACGGTGAAGGTACGCGGTACCATTTTGTTCTATTGCTTCAATTCCCTTTCTTCCCCGCCCAATTCTAGTGGGAGCCACCCATCCGTTTGCACCCATGCTTTTCAATTTGTGCTCCAATTTTTATCTTATCCTATACTATATAATATCACACATGTTCAATAAAATTATACCATATACTTTTTTATTTTTATTTTTGAAAGGATACCATATACTTTATTAATAATATATTGATTTTCAATTCATACCTAGAAATTTGTGTTTGCATATATAAAAAACGGATCAGGTGAAAAATTTAGTATTCAAGTGCGAACATGCACTTTTCAATACTACCAAGTGCAATTTTTTTCTTTTAATAATTACGAGTGCACTTTTGATTCATTGATTCTACAAGAGCTCTTTGCATAAGTGCAATTACATTTGACCATATGTAAAATTATGGTTGACTAAATCGCTAGGCGTTCTTCGGACGTTTGGGAGCGCCTAACACCTAGGACAGCGCCTGTGTATTTTATTTTATTTTTTAAATTAAGACTTGATAATTGTTAACTATTTAATACTTTAATATATAGTTAATACTAAAATATTAAATATTAACCTTAAAAACATCTAGAGTTTGAACAATTTAGGGTTATTTTGCTCAAAACAATGTCGTTCTGAGTGAAATACCCTATTTAAAAAAGAAGGAAACAATAGCTAATCGGTCGACTAGGCAACCAAATCGGTGCCTCGGAGGTCTAGTCGGCGCATAGGAGGCTTAGGCGATCAGCCGCCTAGACCACCGGTTATGGTGATACGCTAGGCGGCTGGCCAGCACCTAGGCACCGATTAATCGCTGCCCAGACGAGATTTTTGCAACACTATGTAAATGCACTCAAGAAAATTGCAATTGTAAATTTCAAAGAATGCATTTTGATAGTGTTGTAGGGTGCACTCAAAATTTGAAATAATTATCATAATGTCACCACGTTTTTTATTGCTTTAAAGCCGTTAACCTTTCCATATTGATAGATAGGATTGATTCCCAATTTCCTCTTGAGCACCGATTCTTACTTGAATGTGCCCTGAATCTAATTGGTTCATTTTCCCTAAGTGATTATATTGTTTTCACGCGAGTGTGTCCATACTCCGATCCATATGTGTGTGTGTGTGAGTGAGAGTGAGAGAGAGAGAGTGTGTGTGTGTGCGCGCGCGCGCACTATAAATAGTAGAGTAGAAAATTTTATGATGATTTTAATTGGTTATTTAAGAAATGTTGAATAGAAGTCGGGAAGGGCTTCAATATTATGTTATTGATTTGCATTTGAAACATAATACTGACTAGTTATATAAGTATTTTTTCAAAAAAAAGTTATGCATTTACTATCAAGTATAGCGGTTTGCATTTAACAATTGGTATAGTATATATTCTTTGAAGATCTTATAATAACTTGTTATAATATTTATTCTTTATAAAATTGTACATTAATTATATTTTACTAAAGATATATTAAAAAAACTTAATATAATTTATAAAGTATAGCGGTTTGCATTCAACAATCGGTATAGTATATATTCTTTGAAGATCTTATAATAACTTGTTATAATATTTATTCTTTATAAAATTGTACATTAATTATATTTTACTAAATATATATTAAAAAAAACTTATTATAATTTATAAAGTATAAAATACATCCTTATAAGATACATAATATCGTATCTCACACCATTATAAACTTTTTAAATATTCTTTA